CTCTCTCTCTCTCTCTCTCTCTCTCTCTCTCTCTCTCTCTCTCTCTCTGCCGAGTGCACATACAGGAAACAATCTCTTTCACCACTGTTGGGGGCAGTGGAGGGTGATTTTCAATAAAAGTGAAGGAAGGTGCTGCTAAGAGATAAATAGAAAATAGATGGCGGATAAAGAAAACGTTGGAAGAAAATGGAAAAAGCGATCAAGTGCTGGATGGGCAAGGTAATGGAAATTGGAGAGAATGTCGTGAGAAACACAGTGGGTAATAAATGTTTTGCAGGTAAGGTGAGGAACATGCTGAGGACAGCTTTATGAAGACAGACGACGAGACACAGATGAGCAGAAAGTCACACACAGAGAGCCGAGACGAGGGTGATAGAGTCGGATGACGCCTTTGCAGATTGCTCAATCCCGATGAGTCTTGTAAGACGGAAGTTCAATCGCTGTCGTGGAGTGCTTAAAGCAACATCTAGGTCAGGACGTTTGTGTTGATTATGAAGCATTGCTGCTTACACAGATTTCTGACTTCTGGCCGTTTTGGACGAACTGAATGTTACTAATGGCCTTCAAGTGGTGCGGTATTCTTTGTAAAAGGACAGTCTGTCTGTAACGGACAAACAGACTGTTTGTCCGTTATATCCGTTGTTTGTACACATGCATGTACACGTGCATTGTCCGTTGTTTGTACACATGCAATTCTGCCCTCACCTTCAGAAAAACACTGAGTCACTGTTAAGTTGCAGAAATACATGGGTGGCTACGCTTCAGGCTTCTGTCTTTGTTTTATTCTGGGGCACAAAAGGTTTGGTTTCCATACATAGAACAGTGGTGAGTGAGAACAAAAAGGAAAAAACGTTTCATCTCTCACGACCCTAGAATCAAGGCCGTGGTAGCCTCCCACATACTACCCACACAGCCTTGAGATGATTCTATGGCTGCACTGCCTCCTCCCCTCCACACTCCCTACATCAGAGTTAAAATCGACAAGACACACTTTCTTCAATTCACTTTATGATTTATGGATCCACTTTTGGCCTTTTTGAATGAGTAATGTTAACTTGCAGCCCACCATCACTCTTGTGAGCGGTCTGTCTGGGAATGTGTTGCTGTCCAGACAAGTGAAACAAACTTAGAAGCCCTTTGATGAGGCACACTAGTATATATACACCTTTCAATGACTTTATTTTTAAGTGAGAAACCGTCCTCTTACTCTGCATGATACACATTAAGCTAGAACCTGCAGGTGATTAGCTTAGCTTAGCATCAACACTGGCAGTAGGGGGAAATGGCACTTTTAAAGCTCATTAATTCACAGCAGCCATTTTGACATGTCATTGCAGGATAAACACAGGTGTAATTAATAACATTAATTAAGTTAATAATTGTTAATTCTGCTAATTACCCTGTTCCATTTAGGTGGGTCAGGGCCCTGGTATTGTGCATGCTGGCTCACCAGAACGACTGTGACACACTAATTAGAATGGGACCATAATTAATTTGATCAATGACACCTGTGTTTACCCTGCTAAGACGTGTCAAAATGGCCGCTGTGAAAAGGGTCTATTGGGCTCAGCTGTTTCCTGGGATCTACTGTGGTTTTCTGGCAACCTCACAGTGAAACACGAGTGTCGGCCGGGCAGAGTTTAGTGTTTGAGTACAGACATCGTAGCGTAACATTATCTAAAATATTCACGTGATTTCAACAATGTGGATGAGGTCTTTGAATTCGATACTGTGTGTGTACAGATATGACGAGTTAATGAATGAGCTCAAGAGGTGACGGTTTGAGTATTTTGGAAGCTCGCTGTTTCTCCCAGTTTCCAGTCATTTCGGTTCAGATGCTCTGCTGCCATTTTGCAGAATACCAGTAGTCCGACTGTACATTTGCAGGGACTTCCTCTCTAATATGCCTTATTAGAAATTAGATTTTTTTATCAGTGTTTGCATGTGTGTTTGTGTAAGTCAGTGTTGTGCATATTTGTGGAGCACTGACACAGATTTTATGTAGTAACTGTGTTTTTGTGCCAGAGTTGCTGTGGATTTCTTAATGAGGACAGGGACACTGAACTCTGCTGAGGACAATTTAGTTTATTTAGGGGGCTTTTGATACCAATGGCATTGAACAGGGGACATTCAGGACAGCGGTGGATGTTTTAACCCAACAGCATTTTGTTGGAGAATGGTACTGTAGCTGTTGTGTGGTCACTCCACCAAATCTTCAGTCGGTGCCAACAACTTGAATCATCACACCTGAAGTCTTTGTGACAGTTGTCCACCTCTGTCATTACGTCATGTGAGGGGAGCTAAGCTATAGGCTAATTGAGCCTTTAGGTATTAGAGCTCGTCAGCCAGCTGATGGTCGATCAAAGTTAACTGTGACAACAGCTGTGTAAACATTCATTGAAAGAGCGTGAGACGGACAACTGAAAAAGCGTGAATGAAACACCGAAGGAATCATTTGCTTATTAATGGTTCAGTCAAAGTAAATTTCATAGCTTGCATTCAGATTACAAAAGAGGCGCAAAACTGGTTGGCTTTCAACTTACTCCAATGTAAATAAATCTACGTCATTATTGGACAGTCAGAGCAACAAACTTTTCCTGAGCCTAATGAAGTAGTTTTGTTGCCTTAACCTAATCAAGTAAACCTAAAAACTAAGTAAACCTACGTTGGAAGTTTATTTTGAAAAGACAGTATGCCTGTAACGAGCTGATACTGACTAGAGCGTCATAGCTTGATGCTCGGGGCCCCTGACGAAGCGTCAGTATTTGACGAGTTGGAAGTGGCTCAGGACATTTTCCCTCGGGACCGTCTGTCTGTTGATGTTGTATCACTGTGTTCACATCAAGAAAACATCAAACTCCCCCCACAATGACCTGAGCCCACATGATACAGGGATAAGGTTCTTACAAAGTACATTTGTATTTAAGAGACAACAGAGGTAGTTTGTCCGATGTTAAGAATGTTCTTGTTTAAGCTTTGTGTTCCATTCCAATGGTTTATTACAATATCAAACATTGTCCGCAGTGTTTTCTGCACAAGACACCTGGTAACATGACATCAGGTGTACATGTTTATATACACAATACATCCCACCCTCTTTATTACATTACTGCATATACAGTACAATGGAATGTATCAATCAATAAGCAAGAGGCCATTAAGATGAAATAAGCATGCAAAATAAAGGAAAGGAATCATACCTCGTCTGTTATCTGTCCCCCAAACGTCACCCATGTACCTGCATGGAAGAAAAGGACATTTCAACGTTAGAAAACATTTATATGTGTGTGTGTGTGTGTGTGTGTGTGTGTGTGTGTGTGTGTTTAACACCCTAGCATAAACACCACTACAGTAATCCCTGGACTGTGTCCCTGCTGTCAAGTTCCCAAAAGAAAAATCTGATCAAGGATCACCTTGAGTTTCTGTTTTCACTGGCATATTTGGAAGACCTTGTATGTGTGTGTGTGTGTGTGTGTGTGTGTGTGTGTGTGTGTGTGTGTGTGTGTGCATCTGACAACATGCTCCTAATTACACTGCAAACAATGCTGATAAGCCAGACACAAAGCTCAGCCACCTCAACCAGAAGAGACCCTAAATCCTCTGCACACTCTTTCTCTGAATTAAGTATGAGGCTTTGTTGTGGCAGGAAACATTTCAGATTATGTCAAAAATGTTTACAGACATGTCTGCAAACCTTTAAATGCTGCATGGCTTATTATGTGTGTCCTGGGCTGCCTGATAAGATATCAGATAGTCAGTGTTTCAGTGCATTATAAATTTGGCAGGGGAGACAAGGACATTGTTCGCCACATGAAAATGGAATATATCAGACTTTATTTGTACGGTATGATATCGCCTGACTGCGACTGGAATTTTTAGGCGAGAGTTCTGATAACGATATACCAGCAATGAGCTGACATTATATATATATATATATATATATATATATATATATATATACACACATAACATATGTAATAGCTGATACTTCAGCTTTACTCTGTGCTTACACTTAAACTGCTAACTAAACTTCTGTGAATATCTAATATTTCGGCCGCCAATTCAACTTGAACTGTGTCAGCATTTCAAATGCTTCAACTGCTACTTTTCTGCGGCGAGCATACATACACTTTGCAACATTTCAAAAGATGTTTTTTGGACATTAAGCCTCAACTGCACCTCCACTACAGTTACTACCAATTGCCCTGATTATCAGTACGTGCGTGATGTGGCATGCATGCAAAGCCACCGCTCTTACAGGTTCAACTGAATATTTTGAGCCGGAAGTAGCACTTGACGTTGCTATGCAACAATACAAAAATCTAACAACCTGGCAGTGCTTTTTCTTAAAGCCGAAGGACGTTCAAGTAAAACATTCAAACTCAAACGAACTCCTGACAAAGAAACTGATGAGGTTGTAGCATTTATATAAATGGTACAATCAGGAGGTCATTGTTTGACTTGAGTTCAAATCGCTTCACTGCCCCAAATGTTTCCCTCTCAGCAACGTTTTTCTACTTTAATATTTTTTCCCATTATAGAGATATTTCTGCCGTGTATCCACACACGTCGATCGTACTTCGATCGAGAGGTCGAAAGAAACAAGGCAAAGCTGACATGAGCCCATCCGGTCATGGCAGAAGAGAAGGAGAAAAGAAGGGCAGAGAAAATGAGGAGAACACGGAGTGAGAAAATGATGATAGAGATTTAGATTTGGTAAGAGGTGTCGTTTGTTTTTTTGTTTTTTTCAGCTTTGCTGTGAATCCTTTTAACCCGATTCTTCACTCTTGAATCCAGTCTGCGTGCCTGGCAGTGTGATAGATGGCACACATTTAATGAAACATGTCTCTCTCGTGTCTCAGTTTGACTGACCTCCCAACTCTCTTTTTCAGCATTTTTCAGCTTGTCCGCCTACAGATAGAAAGCATGAGTCATATTCTTTTGTTGGACTAATTTTCGAGCTCTAAATCTCTTAACTGGTTGT